ATTCTCTCTGTACTGCCTGGGATTTTATTCACTATAGAGTTGTCATTTTATGAAGTGCTCCTCTCGAAGCGTAGGCTTGGTGAGGTTCTGTCTTGCAAATAACTGATATTCTGGAGTATATTCATTTCAGCACAGGAGCACTACTAACATTTGATAGTAAAGATTGGCAGGATTGGGTCCAACAGTTTTGAATATTGCTTAGAAGTACAACAAATTTGCTGTTTTTTCCATATGAGTCTAAGCAGTCATTGATATGCTATACAAGAGCTTTAAGACTTCTGAGTTTTCCCTGGAACTGTGGATACTTTTATTTTCAACGGCAACAAAAAGCCTGGTTGGCTCAGATAATGTTCTTTGAATAGCATTTGTGTAACAGCAATTTGGCACTATGTATATTTGAAAAGACATATATGTATGTTTGAAAAGACAGTTGACAATATTTTAGGGTTATAACAAAATAGCTCTTGTTAAATACATCCTTTTAGAAAAATTGGCTGTATTTATCATGCTTAGAATCTCAGCCTAAAAACTTTTATTATTGTTGAGTGAAGCTCTTACACAACTAATGATTAGTAGAAATATTTATGGAACCTTGTTTTACTTTATTGCCAGTCATGATACTTGATTTTAAACATAAATGTTCTCAGCTTGATTTCATCCTTGGTCCTTTTCTCCTCCTCTCTGCTGCAGGCTTTCGTGATCATGTTGATTTTCACCCATTCCCCGAGTCTGTTATCTATCTGGTGTTTTCTTCACCCAGATGTTTATGTACTAAAACAGATTGTGATTTTTGCCTTTTCCCTGGGTAGCACTATGACATCTGTATTTAGTTTTTTGCTGTTGTTGTTGTTTTAAAGCATCTGCTGCCATCTATGGAGTAATCATAGAAACAAAGCTGATATAAAAAGATGTTTTATCAAATGATTATAGAAAACATGATCTAGCTAGTGGAGGAGGTATTGTAGAGCAGTTGGACAGATCTCAAGAAATGCTATTTCTCTGTAGTCCCAGATCTCACAGCAAGCACAGGTGAAAGTATACCATTTAGAAGATCAATGACTTCTAGGAGTTAAGTTATTCAGTAGATTTATTTATTCTAGACAAGCTTTCAGGGCAGCCTGAAAATTAGAATAAAGTTGCTTTGTCCTCTAATCCTGTAACTTGTTCCTTTTCCTTCGCCATTACCTTTCACGCATCCTAGTGCTTCAGTAGTTTCCAACATCTGATGATTACATCGTTCTTCATTTATTTTTAAAAATTTAAGTTTAATTCCTTATTCTTCCCCAGCATCTTTTTAACTGGCTTCATGCCTCTCCCTTGTGTCCAGTTTCAACCTGCCAGGTCCCAGGTTTCACTCCTTCAGATCCCTTCAGAATGCAGTGCTGAAGATCAGTCCTCATTCTCTTTGTCTTTCATAACATCTTGTCACTGGATATCTATTTTAGAGTATACATTTATTGCAATACATTTATTCAAGTTTGTCTGGAAAGTACTTGGAGAAGTAATTTTCTATATACTTTTATGAAGTGCCTACAGGGTATCTGTGGAGGCATAGAAGCTATCAGCTTTTATCTTGATACTGTTTATATGCTCTTCAGCTTGCAAATTTTTGACTGAGGATTTTAGTATCTTACAACCTTGAATGGGGTTAGGTGTATGAGATCCTAGCAATCAGACTTCTGTACATTTGAGTTAGGAGATCTGACAGAACAACTATGTCTTTAGGTTTTTCCTCAGCCAAAACAGTGCTGGAGTGGGTGTATATTTACCCACTACGGCTTAAATGCTTTCTTATGACGCAAGACATTAGAATCAAAAGGAAAAGTTTAACCTATATGGATGAAGCATTCTTAAAAATATCTTCTGACATTTTCTTCTTATTGCTGAACTTAGAAATTGATCTTATTTCCCAGCATCAGAGACAAAATGAAGAAAAAAAAATCAATACTGAAGATTGATCAATGTTTTTCAAAACTGACTTAATAAGATAAAAATCAATGCAGCTGTATTATTTGCCATTATTTTATCACCAGTATCATTCAGACATGGTAATATTTGATTCTTAAGTTAAATGTGAAAATATTTCAGTTACCTCCTACAGAAGCAAAAAAACTTAAGAAGGAGGTATTTATTTAGTCAAACTTCGGTTTTCTTTTTAAGCCTGTTTTTGGAACTTTGAGTTCTGCAGAAACTGAAAACAGTTTCATATTTCAAGTGCCAGTATATAATTGTTCCTTTAATCACAGAGACTTAAATAGAGCAAATTATTACTTGTATTTGCAAATTATGAGCCTCCTTTCCTCCCGAAAAAACAAGTTCCATCTTGCTTTGTTGAAAGATCTGTACTTGAAAATTTGGGATAAGCTTGGGCACCTAATTTCCCTCATGGCAGACTCACAGTGAATTAGAGCCTTACTGTACAAATGAATTGGCTCATTAATCTTTTTTGGCTAAAATGACTGGGTTATTTGTGGGTTTTTGTTTGTTTGGTTTTTCCCAACAATCATTTCCCTTTTCTGTCCCCAATAATATTAAGATGTCTTACCGATTTATTTAAAGGCTTAAAAACTATCTTGTGTAATATCAGTGAACCGATCCCTAAGCCATGAGTTTGGCTTAACAGTTGAGAGGTTTTTAAAAAAATAATTTGCATTTTAATATTTCAATTCCTGTTTACTTGCTGCCTTAGGCTTAGCCCTTTTGGCTCATCGTTTGAAATTTCTCTTAACAACTGAGGACTAGAAAATGTCCTTTTAGGGAAGAAAGTCGAGATTCTCACATAATCACTGGGACATCTGAACTGGGATATTAGGGAAGTATCAGACATTGAAAGACTCCTGATAAAATCCTGGATATTGGCGAGCCTCTGGTAATGGCATCTTTTATTTTCAAGGTTTATTTCATGAGCACAGAAAGACATCTTTCTGCATAAATTTCTATTTAATTGAATCCCTATCTGTAAGCTGGGCCAGAATGTCATAAAATAGGGAATGCAGACTTAATCATAGTTAGACACAGTTTTTGAGAATACAGGACTTAATCGGGTTTTCTGTCGGACCAGATACTTTTGCCTTTCTTTTTCATATTCCTTTTCTAATTGATAAATGCAGTGAGTTTGCTCCTCTCCTCAAGTAGCTTTGAGCAGCTAGAGGACAGTCATTGGGAACAGACCCCTTCGTTCTCTCCTTCATCATCAGCTTCATTATAGACAGTATCAGCAATCGCGTGGCGAAAGAGCTTGTACTTGTACCTCTGCTCTCCTGTACTGCGAGAGGGAAGAAGCATGGCAGATTGCATAGCTAAAAGGTTATGAAGCCTGAATTTGTTACACCTCTGAATTTGGCAGGCAAGCATTCACAACCACTGTAGAAATACATGACTCATCACACCATGAGGCTGGACATCCTGAGAAGACAGATGATATTGGATTGGTTTTCTTGTTGCTCTGCAAACAATCAAACAGGCTTAAGCTATGCAATCTGATATTCCCTAATTGACAGCTTTGCCAAGGTTCATTTGTTAACTGAGAGCATGACATGTATTGAAGTTGTTTCTTCATAATGCATTTGGCATTAACAGGAGAAGCTGTCGAACGCCTCAGACATCAACATCTCAGCAATTAAATACTTCGCCTCCAGTTTTGACTTTCTAACTAGTGGCTTTGTATTTGCAAGGGCATCTGGAATGAGCATATGAGAGGACAGTATGTAAGAAAAAAGCTTAAATACATTCCCCAAAAGAAAATTTGTGAGAAAGTATTTTTCATGCTCGGGACATTTACCTGAGTTTTATGGTTCAGATGTTCTTTTTTCTTTTGTTATGAAACCTTGGTTTCTTGCTTAACAAAGTACTCACTGAATACTCACTGGGTTTCAGAGAATTATTTTATTTCAGTAGATTAATAAGTAGGCATATCTGATTTTATTTATAGTGATGAAGAATTTGTGTATAAGACATGCTCAAGAGTTTTAACTTCCCTGTACATCCACGACAGAATAAAATAAAACCCCAGAGAACCCCTATTTCAAAGAATCGTAACCTTCCCCCAGATGAGGCCCATGATGGGCTGAAAGAATAAATTACCTTTGTGGAAGAGACCAGAGGATGATTTCTCCACTGATCTCGTCACTGTTTTGCATCTGCTCTTTTCTTGTAGCTAGTTTTCAGAAACACTTTCTTAGTTTCTTAGAACACAAATCGTGACAGAGCTCTAACATTCAGCTTTTTTTTTTTTTTTTATCTGATCTCCTCTTCCTTGCAACTGTTCATATGCTGATACCTGGCTAGATGTTCAGACAGGGTCTATAAATACTAATTAAGAGCATGGTCACAAAACCATCATCATTAATAGCTGCTGCTTCTCCTGCATCCCATGAGCTTGATAGCTACAAGATGAATTTATCTTAGATGTACAAAAAATGTGTTTTAATTTCACTTTGTTGTTGTTAATTAGCATAAGCATGTTATTCTAAATATTTAAGTTAATTTCTCTAGCACCTAGTTAAGTTTCTGCATGTATTCTTCCTTCTGTGAAGAGTACATGCTTGGAGAAGTACATTAAATTCTACAGATGTTGTCAAAATAATGAAGGAGTTTCAGTGGTGCTTTGACTAGCATTGTTTAGGAAGTGAAACACAGCTGTTTAGATGAGGGAAGAAGTGAATGAATGGGTCAGGACGCCTTCATTTCACAGGAATTAATAGCCTAGCTTTGGCAGAAGTGCCTCTTCAAAAAACGTCAGGGAAGAATGAGCAAAGCCAATTCGGCTTAGAAAAGCCGAGAGACAAACTTAAAGAGTTAAGAGCCCAGAGAACCTAAGCACACGTCTCTCCTCCCGCTGCAAACTTCAGCGACCTGAATTCCTACAGCCAAATGTTCCCGAGCCTCTGGGGGACATCCCGGGCCTGTCTCCACCTCGGTGCTTTGTGTTTCACGTGCGAGGCGCGTTGGCAAAACGCCATTGGGCGAGCGCTGACTCGGGAGCCCCTTTTGTCTCGCAGGGCAAGCACCGGCTGCGTGTGGACACGGGACTGGAGGGCGCCTGGTGTGGCCTCATCCCCATCGGGAGCCCCTGCGAGAGCGTGACCACAACGGGCCTCAGGTGGAACCTCGGTAAGTCAGAGGGCTCTGGGGCGGCGGGTTTGATGTCATCCTGACCTCACGCTGACGCCAGCCCCCTCGGTGTTGAAGGGCCTTGCGGGTTTGAAGGTGGAACATGGCATTGAAGCCCTGCTGGGCCATTTTTTGCTAGAAACGAAGGGGTTTTAAGCAACAACCAAAAAAAAAAGAAGATAAATATATTTAAACCTGAGGTATTGCAGGCAGAAACGTGTTTTGCATTTGGGAGTCATTGTGCTGTTTAAATAGAACATTTGTTGAGGTCATGATACATTACCATCTTGATACATTGGCCTCCGGGGAGGGGAAACTGCGAGTGCCTAAACTCCTGGTTACAAGCCATAAAGTTACAACAGACAAATAATAATGTGATACAGATTATTAAAGGTATCTCACTTCCCCTGAACTGCTTTGAGTATATTGTCTGTTTGTCAACTCTGAATGAATAGATCTGTTTCTCAAAGCGGGAAAGGGTACATTTGATCTAGAACAAGGACATTCATCTGTAGAGAAAGGAGGTTTCTTGACCAAAAAAAATTGAAACAATCTTCATCCCCCTGCCCCCTCCTCCAACACTGAGTCATGCAGGAGTATGATTCATTAAAATTTAAGGGAAGCAAAGCAGTACTTGAGAGGCTCTGGTCTTGCAGCCTGATTTACATTGCCAGACTTTAGAGCCATCCCATGTAGAAGGGCACATGGCTCTCACAGTTTGCAGTGCAGTGCCTTCCTTGGCTGATAATTAATCTGAGGTTGTCCCACTGTGCCAGCCACCAGCACGTGTGCTGGTCTAGGGAGTGTCTTGTTCCACCGGGGGTTTGAGCACGTGCAGTTAAGGAGGTGGTGGGCATTTCTAGCTCACTAATGATAAAAGATATAAATACGGCATTAATTTCAGGATGTGAGAGACTTTCCAGGTGAAGAGCTGCCTGGCTAGTGATGTTTTTGTCCTTTTAAACTGGATTGTAGGAGCTGAATATATTGTAAAGGGATGTTCTCTTAATTTGAAGAAGAGTCAAATATTGTTCCTTCATTTATTCTCTGCATTATCATCACAGATATATAAAAGCAATCTATATAAAAATATATAAAAAATAGATGTATATACATGATACGGTCTTCCTTGAAGATGTTTAATCTGTCTGAGACACGAAGGTCATTACAACCTGAAACTGCTCTTGTGCCCAAGGGACTAGAGCTGACCTTTACTCATCCAAATACAGATTTTGAACCAGGTTATTGTTCAGATACTGATAAAACAAATTACAGTGTAGTTGCGTCCCCCAAAAGGGAAACCAGTATCTCAAATACAGCATGTGGTTAGTTGTGTCTTAGTTGAATTTTTTCCCTAATAAATAAGCCTTACATTCAGATAGCCTAAGTTTGATACTAGCTTTCGTTTTGTTAATGACTTCTGTGCTGCCTTTAGTTTTGCAGTTACTTTAAAAAATGTTGGTACTCCTGTAAATAGTGATGGAGAAGCAAAGGCTCACCTGGGAAGAAAAGGGAATAAGAACATACTGAAGTGTGATGTGGATGTCAGCATTGCTGCTGATGGCTTCCAGTAGCAGAACTTTCTCTGTTTATTTGTTAATGGCACCCTGAGCACACACCTTCATAAACCTCAATGAATAAAACAGTTTGGTTATAAATTCATTTTCCTCCGTAAATCATGAAAGAAATGGAATTTTTAAGCCAAACATGACATGAGAAGCCTTTTTCTCCAGTTTGTTATGGTATTATTGAGTATGACCTAACAACTTTGGTTTTAAAAAGTAATTTTTGAGTCCTCAGAATACTTGTTTTAAGTATCTGGGTGGTAAACTAAGTCCAGAATTTCCGTTCTGGAACAGTCATAAATGATGTGTTAGGTGAGAGGACAGCCCTCATCTTTGCAAACAATAATTTCTAGCAACTCAAAATTCAAATAACACCACAGTACAAGAAAGAGCTGGCTTTGCATCAAGGTTTTTAATGTCTAACACCAACTGCTGTCTGAGCATACCTGGATTACTCTGCTGATTAAAATTTGCAAAATCTTCAAGGGGTAGTCAAATGTTATCTGTGTCTAATCTACAGGTGCTGTCATGAGACTTCATAGCTTCTGAATAGAAAAAGACAAGGGTAAATACCTAAGACAGAAGCTATATTGGGGTTGAAAGTAGGCTACCAAATGTCTTATTTCAGTGGCTGAATTGGATAAACCTCAAATCTGTAAATTATTCTGCCAGCAAAGAAACAATGAAGTCTTGATTATATTATTAATATTGCAGAATTCGGTATTTTTTGTGTGTTTGTGTGAGGATGCAACGTGTATGTGTGCTTTTATGCATGCTTATCTTATCTTAGTTATTTGCTATCACTTGGCACAAACAGAACTTTCATTTATTTTATTTCTCATCTTATGGGTGAAAGAATTTGGAGAAGAAAGTGGAAAATTGATTAGATAAAATATTTTTTATCCATACTTGCTATTGTGTAGCACGCATTCAGAACACATTATAAACATATTCTTTCCACTCCCAAAGGGATACAGATCTTTTCTCTATTAAAATCTGATTTACAGCTCAGGAATCAGATAATGCTTTATCTGATTTGACTTACCTGGCTGCTTGCTGATAACAGCTCTCATGTCTAATAAATAAATAACAAAAAATCCAATAAGGCCAGAATTACCCAGCATTCTTCATTAGGTCCTCAGTAGTGCTTTCATATAAGGTGAATAAGAATGAAGGTAGAAATCAGCTGCACTGCTCATCGAAGAAGAGGTTGGAGGGTAATGGTAGACATTTCTAGGAAATGGTTACTTTTCTAGGAAATGACTGTAGAAAATAACCTTGCCTACTAATTTGCTCTTCATCCCTATGGCCTTTGATATGCTGTATGTCATACCTGTACTGAAAATGTGGGTGTATATATATATATATACACACATATAAATATATATAAAAACTGAGTGTGCATGTAATTGTGCTTTCCAGATAATTTTTGTGCAAATTTGCAAATTTGCTTCTTTAGGCAGGAAGTTAAATTGCTGTAAAATGCTGCGATCCAAAAGAGCACCACTGTCATTTCACTTCAAAAGGCAACAGCAGTAACAATGGGAGTAAGACCTTTCTCTAACTGTAGCAACAGAGCATCCACTGACTACTGACTTCACAGGTAGATAAACAGGATCCAAAATCTTTACATTGTAGGTAAAATTGAAATTTTTGCACTGTTTTTTCACTGTTTTACTTCATTGGGGTTTTGGTGCCATTGTATTGTGAATGGACCAAAAAGACTACAAAAGCAGTGGCGGTTTATGTTTTAGGGGAATTCAGAGTCTAAAAGATGAAAGAATATGCGTAATTCCTTAAAAAAACGTCAGAGGGTAAGGGACGTCTGGAAAAGGCTGTAAATTGAGATGGACAAGTATCTCTGTGCTAGTGAAGCTGTTTGTATAAGCATTCTAACCTGTTTCATAACCAAAATAGTTTATATGGCCCATTTTGCTGCACCATTTCATTCTGACTGAGGCAAACTAAGACAGGAGTAGCTCTGTTTTCAGTGGCAGAGTAAAAAGTTTCACAGCTGGATTCCCCTTTCCTTTGTTTTCCTCTCCTTCCCTCCCTTCTCATGTTCTTCAGTGGTAGAAGACTCCCAGTCCATCAACTGGGATCTATCTTCAGAGCTTCAGTGATGTATTTTTTCCCTTATTCATCACAGCTCTAAGACCCTGGGTAGGACAGTGTGACAGAAATGATGCTGATGCTCCCAAAGCTTTGGGTGGTTTTGACCTTTTGCGAACTATTTGCCTCCAGGAGTGCTGCTGTCTGCCTTCCAGGGTCACATCATTTATTACAAGGCAAGGCTTACTGAAATACTTTTCCAATAAAGCAGATGTTCTGATGGTGGCAGCCTGGCATCCCACTGGTTTACTGCAAGTCAGCAAAAACAACGAGGGCATTGCTTAGCATTGCATGAAATGATTTTGAACCAAAAAGACCATTTGGCGTACATTAAAGGCCTGATGAACACAGAGCTCAGTTGTGATGGGCCCCTAAAGCTGTATTTGCATTTTTTTCCTGAACAGCAGCTTGAAAACTCAGTCAAATTGTGTGAAGGGGTTTGAAATGGGGATTTGAGGTCACGTGTTCAGTCCATTTCTACATATTTCAATGAATGTTTGGAATTAGTGGGAGGGAGATTTGGTTCCAGCTCTTCTTTAGCAAGGTAGCAGGGTCCTGGCATTCAGTTTGGAAAGGCTGCTTTAAGGTGATAAACAGATACACTCTTCCAGATCACACTGTTGGGGCAACATTACTGCTGTAGGACTCCACTTATGGAGAGATTCATGGGAGAACCTTAGTTCTGAACCAGCTCAAACCACTTCCAGCGGTAAGTTTAGCCCAGCTGGATGGTCGTCTTTAATGGGATATAGGGAATGTATAAATGATCCTTCCATACAGCAGTAATAGGCAGTAATTGCTAGGAAGGGGTAGAATAAAAACAACCTCAAGAGACTTCTCCAGCACAGCTGTGCACAGAGTGCATGGCTCTCTGCAACCTAACTAATACTGTTCTGAAGTAAACTGGAGACACTTTTTTATGTCCAGCTACATTGCCATGGCACCTTGCAACTACAGAAACTAATTTCATTATTAATATAGAGGTGAGAGGGTTGTCAAGAGAGTAAAATGCTGTTCTTTCCCTTGCACCCTGCATTACTTCAGTCCCTCCTTCTGCTAATGGAAATGTAACCTGGAGGTATGAGGGAATAGGTGCTCTGCTTCAGCCCAGCTTTGGTGCAAATAATCCTCATCTCTCTGTTGGCAGTAGATTGCTGAGAATACTAAAGCTGCATGAAAATCAAAAGTAACCTGCTGCTACTGAAGGATATGAGTTGTAAGGACAAAGCACCTTTCTGGGGAAGAGAAAGACCTGCAGGGAGCCAGAGAACTACCATTTAGATTGGTGGGGGTTCAAAGTAGTTCTGTGGATTTCAGTGGTGG